TTTTTTTTTCTTTTGCAAAACTGTCGATCACATCGTCTGGATTTATTTTAATTTGTCTATGCACACTCAAAAGTGCTAGACCTGTAAGACGTTCTTGACCAAATGAATTTCGTAAAAAGTTTTTTAGCCTTTTCATAGTAGAAAATGAGCGCTCTGGTGTAGAAGTCGAAACTGGTAATGTAGCTAATATTTTCAAAAGAAAAGATACATTTGGAAAATATTCATAATTACATTTAATGTACGCTTCGATAGCCGAATTTGGACGGTCTACATCTAGTTCGTCAGTCCATTTTCTTTTCCACAGTTTAATTTCTTGTGGCAGTACTTTTAAATCCAGAAATTCTGAATATATTTCAAAATCATTTAAATCAATTTCAAATTTATCGCATGTTTTTGGTAATAACTTGTGCAATGAAGAAATTATTTTTTTATGATTATTGAACCTTGTTTGAAGCTGTTCAATGAAGTCGTCAAAAAAAGGAATAGCTGTTGTAATACGATAGTATTCTTCAGGTGAATTCACGACACTATTACTTCGATTTTTTTGATGTCCAACAATTCTAGGTATTCTTATACATTCTTCGTCATCAGTTGATTTTATAAGAGCCTCAGCTTTTTTAAAAATATTGGAATATGTATTATCCATATTACTTCGCATATCATTTATTTCGTGTAGCACAATATCAACATACGCCATTGCTTCGGTTAAATCACAATTTACAGACTGTAAATTCTTACACAGTGGCAATGTTAAGGAAAAAAGTATAGATGCTGAGACCATACTTATTACAAAATCACTGGTTATAATAGTTTTTCCAAATTGTAATGCTTTTGATGACGTTTCAATATCACGAGTGAACTGTAATTTTTTCAATATATTAACAATTGCCTTATAAATTTCTGTAAATCTTATTAGTCCGTCGTGATTTTCTACCCAACGTGTCTCGCACATTGATGTAAGTTTGGTCCACTTAGATTCAGGAAATTGTTCTTTGATGTATTTTTTTTAAATTTCGGTTCGCATTGCTGAACCTTTAATGAAATTTCCCACCGCTTTTATGGTACCAATACAGTTACGAATATGTTGAATACTACAGG